AAATTTTCTTATTCCGTATTACTTACGAACTGTCGTAATATAGAGTATTGTATTGTATGTGGATTGGTTAATGTTATCAGTTATATTATTTGTGTTAGAATATAATCGACTTTTCTGATTTAAAAATTTTCTTATTCCGTATTACTTACTCACTGTCATAATATAGAGTATTATATTGTACGTGGATTGGTTAATGTTAAATTATTTGTGTTAGAATATAATCAGCTTTTCTGATTTAAAATTTTTGGGTTCAAAATCCAATCACTTACATACTGGTGTGAGTATTGAAATTATATAAGATTATGTTTTTTGAGATACTAATTTTTATTACTGTGTTATACTTACAATCCTTCAACTAATTTATAAGCTTCTTTTGCCCATGTATCATCTGGTTTAATTTTTAATAAGTTTTTCAAGTCGGTAATTGATTCTTCATACCTTTCCATCATATAATTAATTTCTCCACGATATTTTAGTGCTATTTCTAATAATTTTTTTAATTTTATTAAGTTAGTAATTGATTTTTCCAATTTTATCATTTCTTCTTTCTTCTCCTCATCATAATTCTCTTATTGGCAATCTAATTAAACCCAAATCTTCCTTTTTGATTCGCCATCTAATTAAGCTATTAATTAAATCTTCTTTCTTATTATCCTCATTATCGTCATTTTCTTCCTCTTCTTCCCTTTTCTCATCATCGTCTTCCTCATCCTCTTCTTCATCCTCATCCTCGTCCCATTCCTCATCCTCTTCTTCTTCATCCTCGTCCCATTCCTCATCCTCCTCTTCTTCCTCATTCTCGTCATATTCCTCATCCTCTTCTTCCCCTTCCTCATTATCATCATCATACTCTTTTATTTGCAATCTAATTAAACCAGCTAAATTTTCTTTTTTTATTCGTGATCTAATTAAGTCAGTTAAATCTTCTTTCTCTTCTGTTAGCAATCTACTTAAACCAGTCAAGTCTTCTTCTCTCTCTTCTATTGACGATCTAATTGATACAGTTAAATCTTCACATGCTTCTCTGTATCTGCCTATAATTAAGGAAGCTTTTCCTCGAGATATTAGTGCAAATGTATCATTTGGCTTATTTTTTAATTCGTCTACGTATTGATCAAAGGTTTTAGAATTGATCCAGCATGCTTCCCATAACTCTTTACCGACATCATCGTTAGTTATTGCTATCCATAAATAGACATTATCGTTATTGAAAACTTTAATATGCTCCAAAATTTAATTTTAAATAAACTTTACTTAAATATTTAAACTTTTTATGCCCAAAATTCGCCTCGACAGACACATCTTGTGATCTTAGTCCAATGCAAGGATACAAATTATTTTTTAAATTATCTAAATCATTAGGAAGATAACATACAATTCCTTGAAATATAATGAATTATCACACCCTTATTAATTAATTTAAAATTATTAAGAATAATGATATATATCCAAAATAATTTGAATTTACCTAGATTTATACCATTTTTAGTATAAAATATCATCTTATCGTCATTTCTAAAATTCAAATAACATCCAATTGTATCACCAACAGTATATTTCGGTCCATATGGCTTGCCACTTCCGGAACAAAAAAAATATCC